GTGATTGAGTAACGAACCGCTAATTACAGTATGCTGCAAATGACATCGGTGACGTAGAGGGATATGTGAAGGTCCCAATGTGGCGTGTATAAGTAAATAATAAGTGTTGTTGAAAACATTTGAGTAGTATATTAATACTAACACAAACAACCGAAATTTCACTGGGCATAATTAGCGTGCACGTCGTGCACATGCGAGATCGGTAATTTAATGGGCCTTTTGACAGAAACTGAAAAAAGACGAAATAATGCATTATAGGAGCCGCTGACTGCTGACAATCCGACAGCTGTGAACCTTATATGACAGAGCCACTTCTGGAAGACTGTAAAACGCGTTCAAAGCCAAATCTTCAATTGAGAAGCGTAGCTTGTACCCAGGCTATCATTCCACCCCAAAATGAAACGATGCCTCATACCGCAGTAACAATAAGTTTATGGTTATCGACAGGTCGTGGTTGATGAGTATCAGCGCATTTTTAAAAAATTACTGAGTGCATTTGGGGTGCATGTTCTAAAATTCCTTAGCGCGGTGGTGGAACGGCGTCAGTTGGTTGTGTAGCGGGTAGCCATCATGACCGGTCTGGCGTCGTTGTTCAAGACCTCACTGCCTCAAGGTCATCCACCCTTTTGCAGTGAGCCGTTCCAGATTGTGGGGTTTAATGTACACAAAACCCAAAGTTTTCGTCTCAGGCAGAAGTGGCCACTGGCGAAGCCAGGGCTGGTGTTGACTGCGTCCAGTTAGGCCTGAGATTCTTCTGATGTAGTGGTGGCAGCCCCTTTTGTAGGCTCGTGGGCTAAGCTCAAGTGGTGTCCAATCGGTGTGTGTTGCATTTGCCGAGGGGTGGTGTCCCCGTAGCTTAGATTGCGGTTGCAGGGGGAGGTGCGTTCAAGTGACCGCATGGGCAGCTGCAACTGTGCGGGCGCAGGTATGCCGAACTGTCGGTCGTGTGACTTCAGGTCAGCGCGTCTGGAACGGCTCACTGCAAAAGGGTGAATGACCTTGAGGCAGCGAGATCTTGAACAATGACGCCAGACCGGTCATGATGGCTGCCCGCTACAACCTCCATGAACCAGTCGGAGATACCATTCATCTCTTATTTTTAACACATATGATCAATAATCGAGTTTTTTGCAATACTTATACCGCGGTCATGCCACTTGCGGGTATTACACTGTAAAACCAATCGTGCAAGAAAGTCACTTTCCACTACCTATTTTCCGGGGGTCGTGATGGGCTGGTCCGCCCGTTTGGACAGGGACAAACGGCAGGACCAACGACTGGAATTTCGACAGATGGTCTAGTCTACGGTAGACCCTCGAAACCAAATAACGAGAGGTAGCTAACTTGCACGATTGTTTCTGCGACTTGTTCCACCCACCAGCAGTATTCACTAAATTGATTAAAAAAGCAGCCTGGCAGAACACATCCTACCCTACGTGAAACAGTCTCTTACTTCCCGACAGAAAAAGGAGGCTTGACTGCAGCCAAGATTGGGGTAGGACAACGACCAGACTGTACAATCCCAAGGATGACAATACAGTAAAAGGCTGGTAAGAGGTGCTCACAGTTATACGGATAACCTATACTTACAGTACGTGGGCTAACTCATGAAATGTCAACCGACACTCCGAAATGCGTTTTCGTTTCAAAAAGATTAATTAAGTAAGGTCGTAAAACCAATCAGTCTGCAGTACGATTCTATAATAATTCAGTTACCTCAGGATGCCGGCTTTCGAAAGAACTTCCTTCCGGCTGCATGCAAAAACGACCCTCTGTAAAAATGACTACTTATGTAACATGCATTTTTCTCTTTGATTTTCGATGCCCCTAAAAGTCAAATTATATTTCATGGAAAACATGCGTAAAAATATTCATTCTTTTGCTCGTTCGGTAGAAAATTACGTCTTCTTTCAATTTGATACTCGAAGGAGGAACATAATTCGGTTTTAAAAAAAGTTCCTAATTGTGAGACTTTTTAATACCGTGAAATGGCCGTTCAGAAAACGTCATGTCTCTGCATTTACCAATCTGGCTTGTAAAGTCAACAATATGGATCAAATCCACTGCTTAATTTTATGAATCCTATATGGTCCGTACGCGGAAAATGCATGGCTTGTAGTTTGGAAACCCATAATCCAAGTGTAACGGTGGAGCGGCTTCAAAATTACTCGGGAATTGGAAAAGTTTTTGAAAACCGAATTATACCCTTCCTTCGAGTAAAAGATTGGAAGAAGACGTAATTTTCTACTGAATGAGCAAAAGAATGAATATTTTTATGCATGTTCTCCATGAAATATAATTACACTTATAAGGGCATCGAAAATCTATGAGAAAATGCATGCTACATAAGTAGTTATTTTGTACAGAGTATAGTTTTTGCATGCAGCCGGAAGGAAGTTCTTTCGAAAGCCGGCATCCTGAGGTAATCGAATTGTTATAGAATTATACTGCAAACTGATTAGTTTTACAAATCTATTTAAAAAATCTTTTCGAAACGAAAACCCATTTCGGAATTTCAATTGACATTTCATGAGTTAGCCCACTTATTGGACCTTGAAGCAAATATGAGCGTGACAATGGAAGTGACGATTGGAAATTAACTTGGACGGTCTCACGTTGCAAAGCTGCACAGAACAAATTATTGTCCTCATGTGCACATTTTTCCACTTTAAAAATAGGAAGATGACGCAATATGAACGCATCCTCCCTTCTGTTACCGGAGCACGTAATCACCAGGAGGTACCTACGATGAGCTCGGAATCGTGTGATCATGACTCCCCTGTGGTCGGGACTTGCGAATGTGCAGCCTCTGGGACAGCCAATCACAGGCGTCCGCAAGTTCCTCAACCATCCACCCAACTCACTCAGCTGACACTGAGTAACACCCACATGGCGCTCATTCGCTCACGCCCACATCGTCCCAGCGGACAGACGAGCGCGCCAAGCCAGGCCTGGTCGCGCGTCGGGAGGTCTGGCCGCCACCTAAAATATCCGACTCCTACTGGTGTCTCTCCCCTTGTCTCCTAAAAGGACACCAGGCCATGATTATTGTGGCGTTCCTACACAACACTACACTGTGTTGGTGAAGAAGGCAATGCGCAGTGTCAAGTACTGGACGGATTACCATCTTGTCATCTCGAAAAGGAGCGTTAAAACTCTAACCCAGCAGGTGACCACTGGGTAAGGATACATCAAGCCGAATATCAGGTATAATTAGACGTAGGTCGAACCCAGCAAAAAATGAGCGTTAGTCTGAAACGAACGCCTGTTTTAGGGAAGGACGATGAAAGAAACTATGGGAGGTCATTCAGACCATTCACTACGGTGTTTCTCCGAGAATAACGAGTTGCACGAGACCTAGAGTCAGTGACTGGCCTCGTGAAATATTTACCGAAATTGTGAAACGCGTTTTAGGTTAGGAAGGATCACTTGAGTGGGGCCGGGTCAGATGTGCTTATGTAGCCGTACCCGAGGCAAACAAACCCCAGCCACCTGCAATAGGGGACCGGTGGTAATAGGGGTCTTCACAGGTGGGTCCGGGGAACGCATAGGCGACAAGGTCGAGTAGCTGTATGCAAAAGAAAAGCTATTGGCAGTGCGCGGCTGTACTTTGAGGGATTGAGAAATAGTGCCTTAACCCCCAAACCTAAGGGCAAAGGAGGCAAGCTCAGGCTAATGCATCAACAACCCAGAGGGCGAGATGGACATTGAAATTAGGCAATTATGCGCACGTAGGCTGCCGGTTTTGGAGTGAGACAACTGGCAAGATTAGGACCTTTTTCCACCTGGACTTCACAAAAGCAGTTTAGATGCCTAAGGAGGGACGGTCGGAAAAAATTAGGTTGATCTGGAGCAGGCTCATAAATCAAAGTCAGGCTGGGTGGCATAAAATCCCAGGCACCACAAAGTGCAAACTTTCACCCGGGGATGCTGTAAATTAGGAATAAAAGTTGGAGAGGGGAAGGCCCCTAAGAGGTGAGAAAAGGTAGGAAATGCGCACAGATGTTGGCCCAAAAGGTACGCTTCGATGTAACAAACATCAAGCGGTGAGGTCTAAAGAATTCAAGGCTAGATCGCAGTTGGTAGCCTGGACCCGTATTACAGGTGGCTGGGGTTTGTTTACGGGGGTTTTTAGTGGGGCTACATAATCACATCTGACCCATTTGACTTCCGTTTTACGTCTGAGGTTAGGATTAGGGTACCGGTTAATGGTTTCCGATGGTCGGGTTAGGGTTATGCCTTTAGGGTTAGGTTTTCGGGTTACGGTTAGGGTTTGAGTTTACGATTAGGGTTCAGTATTACGGCTAGGTTTTACGTTAGGGCTACATCTAAGAGCTACGGTTACGTTTACGATTTCGGTTAGGATTAGGGTAAAGGTTGCCGTTAGGGTTAACGGTTACCGTTTAAGGTTAGGGTTAAGGTCGTCGTCCGCTTCCCAATTCCTGGCTACCAACTGCGATCTAACCGAATTCAACTGTACAAATTACTAGACCCTTCGATACTAGTTCCCGTTCGTATCGCAATCAGCCAGCTAGACGCACGATCATTACGACTGAGAAGCCGGCCAGCGACCTGGATCTCAATTCCAGCCTTCCAGAACTTTAGACATTGACACAATGTTACGTCTAAATACTGGAAAGAGTGGGATTCGAAGTTCCGCCGTCCCGAATAACTTCACATCGCGAGCTCGCTTTCTTCGTAATTGTCTAAGACGCTAAGATCTGTGTACTCTTCGAGAAATCACGGCTTAAAAAGGGTGGTATAAACTCTCTTCAAGAGATCACAGTTCCAGAACGTGAAACGGAAAAATAAAGTAACAATACAATCAGAAGCATTAAACCGACAATTTTTAAACTAGGCAAATATGTAAATGACTAGTCTTACTGGCAGTAGCGTGCTTCTATAAGGAAGCAAAGGGTTAAAAAATGGGTTTTTTGATATAAGAAGGGTCTGCGTGGAAGCGTGGGTTGGTCTAACAACAGAAGGGATAGAGGGGGGCCCTAGGAGACGGGCTCCGCAAAATTTTCGAGGATTCCAAGGAGGCGCTGGGTGTCCGGGAAAATACTTTCATTGGATAGGGAGGTAGTGCAGGGGAGTAGAAGGGTGGCTTGCATCTGCAGGTCCGACCGAAGGGCCTGTAGGAGATAAAGGAGACAGTTTAACTCGTTAAACCGTCAAATGAGTATAAGGAATGCGGCAGGGCAGACAAGAGTCGAAAGTCAGCAACACGCAGGCAGTCTCCGTCCTAATCAGTTGCCTAAAAATTGACAGCGTAGGTGGTCCTGGCCCAACAGTTTGACCGTTGTGACTGATGACACCAATCGCGTGCTGCATGGTGTGAATTAGCTTGTGAGTACCAGTTCGGCCATCGATTCCGACGATGTCCATCGTGTGCTACACAGCAAGGTGCAGCAGACACGGTAACTTGCGCGTGAATTAGTTTATAGCGAATGTAGACTTGCGCAGCACCTACCACACTCTTCCCCACTTCCCATCTGTATCCGGTATCAAGGCCGAGTCAAGAAGACCGTGGGCGGAGGAGGGCGCAGGTGGCTGGCACGGCCGGACCCGCACCTAGGCGTGCCATCACACACCTGACCAGAATTTTTCGCCGACAACAACACCCCAACAGGGGTCAGAAGAACGAGGATGATGACTGGGCAGCCATGCCCACCAGCTGTATACCCAGCGGGAGCGCAAGCGCATCTAGTGAATTAGCTTGAAGTGAGACGAACTTGCGCAGCATCTACCGAGGTCTCTGGCTCATCCCCCACCCATCCTGCTGCGGTCTGGAGGTGGACGCGGGCGCAGTGGCCGACAAAGCTAAACATCCCACCTACGCGTGCCACACACGACCTGGTCCCTGCTGCGTATACCAGGTCTTTATGGCGACGCTTCGCACCCCACGTGCGTGGTAGTGGCATGAAGGCCACAGTGAAAAGGAATCATTGTAGCCCGACTCTAGGTCTCCCTGCCAATCCAAATACTCTCATGGGTACCGAGCTATCCCGTCAATTGGCAACCCTCGAGACAACGACTTTTAGCGCGCCGTGAGAACTTCGAGCGTGTCAAATCTGTTACAGTAAGGAATGCGCTGAGTTGTTATAAGGATTGAATTCCGCAGGTTCGGCCTCATTCTCTCTTTCCTCTCCCATTTCGCCAGACGACAGTCCGAGCCTGTCAGGCAATGGGTGATCGGATTGGCAGCAGTGATGGACGTGATGTGGAGGCCTGCAGTATGACGTGCCAGAACACACGCGCACGGCTAGCGCGGACTCTGCACTGCCCAATAAACGCGTGCTGCGAGCCGGTCTCGCTCCCATATTAATTCAGCGCATCCGCAGAGCAGCCGGTCGTGAGGGCTAGACAAACTACGCCAACACAGCTCATGACACTCCAGCCTGAGAGTTTAGACTGTGTCAATAGAACAAGAGGCATATATCTGCAGCGCCTGTGTCTCACACACGAGGCAGACTAGATGGTGCGCCCGATTTGGCAGTTATGAGACCTGACGTCACGCATGATGAACCTAACTACGACCACCACAAAACACTCCTGAATCCGTTCGACCTGCTCGATATGTACCTAGGCACCAGTCACCTGTGGCGATACTTTTCTGTCCAATAGCATTAACAGCACACCCAAACGCCCACAGCCCCAAATGCATTCAAGGCTAGGACTGGATTCCTCTGACCAATCCGGATAGAACTAACACTAACCACCAAAGCGCATCACCCAACAACTGCGCTACAAATGTAATCAACAGAGGACGGTTATTATTCACTACGATGGGTGAACTACCAGGCATGGGATATGAGATCAATAGAACGCACCTCCGTATCCACGGACCGCAGTTTCGTAACATAAACAGAAGTGGAACAGTTTCACAGCCCTAAAGAGACCCAGGGAAAAATAAAGTCACTATAGGAGGCCGTAGTAAGTCTCAAGTCTAACCCGGACTCTTCAGGCCAGGTGAGCATCATACCGTTGCATCCCACGGCAAACGTACTTCCATGTTGCACACTTTCTGGAACCGCTGTTGATGCTCGTTGTCTCAAAACCCCACTGTCAACTGTCAGCAGTGGTAAATTTACAACCACCGATGCAGCGCATTTTACACGAAACCCCTCTCCATCTACTGTACGAATGGTTCAGGATGGCTAACCCGCTAATGAAGATCTGCAACTTACCAAGCTGTCGGCAGCTCAGCTCTCAACCTTCTCAATTCATTTTCCTCCACCTCCCTCTGTAGCAACTGGAGTTCGGGATACCGAAGACAGCCTAAATCACAGTTTATGGTCAACAACAGGACGTCAATCCCTCTACCGGAAGGCTATTTCAGACACCATCTGATTTGGTCAAACCATGTTCAATTCGCCCAAGCGCAGCCGATTGATACCACGCCGCCTCTGGTGCTTTCGTAGCTGACAGCCATCAGTAAGATGTCTGGTGCGTTTGTCCAATGCCCCGCAGTGTCACCTTCGCAGGAGGCGATTCCAGGCCTCCTGACCTTACAGTCTGACTGACTGCAGCATGCGCAACTGCACGCATTCAGACGATCACCGGAGTAAAAATCCCACTTGAGCATGCCATCCCTCGGCTAGGGCAGCACGACCCACTTGGACCCGCTCCCGCAAATCTATTAAAACGGGCGACTACGATCTCTCTCCCCCAGGCATGTCAGCACACGTCCTGACCTTGCCAGCGGTCACTGCTGCCTGAGACAACAACTCAGGACTCTGTGCACAGTAAAACTCTCACTCAGGTGTCTTCTGGCTGGGTAAATGTGGCAGTCGGAGTACAACCGCTGCTCAGACGCTACAAATTTCCCGCCTGTATTTCCAAATTCAAGCAGGGCTACTAGGAAAAAAAGGGAGCATCCAGGGCAGGGATACGGCTAATCCTCCTGGCAACCGTCGCACCTCGCAAGTCTGTGTGATAACCGGAATGACGAGTATTTCCTAAACGACCCTAGGGTCCATCTGATCCCCGGTAAACCGCAGATGCCCCAATCATAGTTTGTTTCTTCAGGCCAACAACTCTACCTCCCACCACCACAACCGACGGTTCTCGCTCCTTCTCTCTGGACATCGAGTCGGGACTTCCCTTAGCCGCAGTGCCGAAGACCCCTGTTTTGCATTTAATGCCTGCTTTTCGCCGCCTATAACAGCGTGATCGGGTGCCGGAAACCGCATCTATCTTCTTCGCCCGGGACACTCTCATTTTTCGGACACCAAGACATCCTGCCGTCCTCGGTCAGAGTGGAATTAGTACTTTTGACTGCCAGACCACTCTCTGGAGTCCCTGTGAAAGACCAACAAGGAGCTTTAAGATGACGAACATAGACCCTACCAGAGCATTGTGACACTTCGGCATCAAATCGCATAAGGTCAGGTGTTCAGAGGAGAAAGATAACTTTTTGAGGATAGGGTTAAAAAAAACAGCAAAACCATAACGGTAGCAAGTCAACGCAGATGAGAGTCATCGCAACTTGATGAAGGCTGAAAAACGACTGAAAGTTCCCATGGGAGCGGGTTGGTTTCTCTGTACACAACCACCCGACAGGCTGTCTGCATGCACTTGCCAAGGGCTAGGTTGGCTCATTGCAACACCGCCCTAAAATTAACTCACAGGTTATAATTGATGGGGGATTTTGTGGAAGTCGGCGTTTACGGTTGAGGACACAAAGTAACCCAAACACGGTCTCAGAAGTGTGCGATTGAGGGGATATCATGTAGCCGTCGGCGTTTGTTTAAGGACATCAAAGCGCTATGAAACTGCGCGGCGGCTCATGGGAGCGCCGAGGCAGGGTTTTGCGCAATAGTCGACTGTTATTGGCAGCAACCGTGCGTATGCAAGCAGGGAGGGGAGGTATTGTTTAGCAATATTTGTCAGGCCGATAACCCGTAATACCAAAAAACCAGCGACTTTTCCAGACTAGCTAATCGATTTAAGAGACGTGAAAGAGAGCTTTTTTCGACCCAGGCATCCAACAAGTGTTCTAACATAATCTCACTGGTCAGTCAACTCTTCCTCCCCTCCTCCAGTCAGCCTCCAGGCCCCATGTTTTTTTTCTGTGTCCGCTGATTTGCAGGAACCGATCATATCCATAAGGAGGATTGCTGATTAATGCGCCAGAAACACCCAGTTTCTAACTTCAGAGGGCGCTTACCTTTCTCTCGCGGCCTGCGGAACTCCCACTTCCAGCCCACATATCCGTTAGCTACACCACCCTGTTTTTTTCCCATTCGTGTGGAACGCGTTGGTATTTTACAAAAAGTAGTGACAGCCGTAGGACGAAATAGTAGGCACGTAATCACCAGTCCTGGAGGCAAGACAGTTGTCGCTGTTGGGCACCACATACTTCTCCTACCCAGACTGGTAATCCAAGTACTAGCGGCTATTGATGGTCACTGAGGGCGAGACAAAGACAAGGTTCGTCACTTCGCAGAGCTCTAAAAGTGTTAGTCGGTTATCTTCCGGGTGGATAGCAGTGCAGCTACGTCTCAACGTTTCATCGTGTTGGTACTGTGGGAATAATGAGGCCTCGGCAGTGTTTAGTTCGCCCGGATGGCGTCGTATTCTATGCGGAGCCTCGTATCACAATTCTCAACTTGTTTTTACCGAACCAACTCCTTCGAAATTCTGCCTCAGTTCTAGACCACATCATGTCGGTGGTCAGCATCAGGACAAAATCCAAAAAGACCTCTCCTGCCTACAATAAATCGGACGCATTTTTGAGCACTCAAGGGTCGTGTCTTGGAGGGTTAGCAGCTGGAGTGATAAGTCGACCCCAGGGTTGAAACTCAGAAGGACTGATCTATGTGACCCTTAAACAGGACATCGGAATAAGAATCGCCTGCAATACTGGTGGTTTTGGGCCGACTTCCAGTGAAATAAGGGTTACGTTTAAGGTTAGGGTTATGGTCAGGTTAAGGATCCGACTTAAAGCTAGATTTAAAGTTGACAGTAAGGTAGGTCAGGAGCGAGTTTAGGGTTAAGGTAGGGGCTAGCGTTAACTACAGAGTTAAGGTTTAGGAGAGAGTTAGAGTCAAAAGTGGGACAACGACCTAATTTTATATTAGGGTTATTGAAGAAGGAGACACGATCGCTGGGATCCCCGATGAAGGGGGGAGCCGTGAATATTCATACGCATGCGGTAGCATGGCTACTGCATCTTATAAATACTGCAGCCCCTTATGCATGAAACACACTTATCTGCTTGTGTCTCTGATGATGGGTTCGAGCAAGAATCCGAAACGTCAGGCTAATAAAGCTCTTGTCCAAGCGATCGTGTCTCCTTCTTCAAGGCTGCTTCCTGGGACTCGTCTCTTCGCATCTATTGATTAGGGTTATTGTTGGGGTTATGACACGGGAATATTTTGCCCTTTCCGGAATTATGCACAAGTCCACCTTTATTACATGGGCGGGACGTACCTATTCCCACGTCCTGTTAAGGGAGCCACAAATTCAGTCCTACCAAGAACTCTTGCATAATATAGCCCCATGGAAACGCCTACTGCGCTCAATCCCGCCTTCGGTCCTCTTGACTCTGTCCTGCTACCGGACGCAGGTGGTTGGGAGAGGAGAGAGTGCGACAGATGCTGCGCAAGTCTACCACCACCACCACCACCACCACCACCACCACCACCACCACCACCACCACCACCACCACCCACCACCCACCACCACCACAAATTAGTCTACGCGCAGGCCACTGTCCTGCCCCCTATCATGCTGTGGGGCACACAGTGGACATCGTCAAATGCGGCCATTCAACTGTCGAGACGGTCGAGGCAGCGATGTGTGTGTGCGTGTATTCTGCGTATACGGCGGAGTCAAGCTCGTGCATGCGCCCATGCCTACTCTAGTCGTCCTGATCTTGTCTTGTAGGTCAGTGTTGGAAGAGCAAGTGCGGGCAGAGATATGCAGCACGATTATTAATAAAGGAGTGATTACGGGAGGCGCAATGTACCAATTCTACTTGCTTCGGCTTCTGCTTCAAGGGCTAACAGCACAGGTCGTGAGTGTCAACTGATATTTCAGGAGATATGGTACGGGCGAGGTCCCCAGTTCCACACGGCCTGTGGGTGGAACCTAAAACCGCAGAACGGGCAAGCGTAGTGAACAACATTTGTCATGTCTCCATCCATAAGTAACGGGGATGGCTGATCGGTGCCCGGGCGCCACGTCTGAAGGCATTACTGTTGCACTATCGACGGTCACTTACTCATCAGAATCGAAAGCCTGTTTATCTGGTAGACAGTCTTCTCCGACAGGCGTTCTAAATCCAGTGCCTGTGTAAACAGCGGGTAGCCCGCAACTAGGCTAATAGACAGACGCTAGTTCCCCAGGGCTTCCGTTGTTCCATTGTAAACTAATAGTCGCTGGACCACAATAAAAGGTAGGAAAAGCTATAATAATCATGAGACGTCGAGGCAAAGACACTGGGTGCACTGTTAACGCTCAAAACGTAGTCCAGGATGGGGTGAGGTGGGACAGAGTAAAGTCAGTGACTGGGAGATAGGAGAAAAGCCCCGGAGAAATTTTTTAACAAATGGTTTACAGGGTCACATCAATTCCAGCCTCGTAGGCCTGCTGTTGGCTGGCCGGGACGGATAGCGAAACAAGACCATTAATCGTTTGTGTCCACAACATCGCTTAACTATCCAGCTGAATGCCCGCCTCCCACCCCCGGCCGTGATTACTCCACATGAAAGGTGACAGACAGGCCCTCAGAAGACGCATCATACATGTTCCTGGAAGGTGAAGCAAGTAACTGATGATCGTACAGGTACGGAAAACGACAGGGAGAGGCCGACTTACCAACAAGCGCTCAGTCATGGATTTCGAAGGACCCTGAGCAAGTTGAGGGTGGGTAGATAGGTAAGAGTACGCGTTGCACAAAAACTTCAGAACCTTGCTCAAAGTAAGCTCATTCTCATTCACCGAGAGCATCTCCAAGATGGTGGGAGCCACCTCGTCAGAGACCTGCAGAATGAAAATTAGCAGTAGCAGTCAGGGCTTACTTCAGCTGACAGCAGAACAGGAAGACTGTTGGCATCACATGACAGGTTTAACAGCACCGTCCATGCTTGCTGCTGTACCAAAGCACTTTTGCTGCCCGTAAGTTCGTAAACATCGGCTGCGTGTTTGCTAACTGGGGCGCAGCTGTCCTCCAGAAGCGCGAGATTCCCCAAGAAGCGGAGAAATGCAATGAGCTCCTCCTCCGTCAGACTGGATAAATTGGCGTCAAATAGGTTGTCTATATTTGCCTACAATAACAGCACAGTAATAAGCAGTGAAGCCCAACAAAATAGGTACTTTCAAGTACTGTCGAACTTCGTCATCCACCACGAGGTTTGATAATATACTGAGTACAGAAACGTTAACAGTTCGCAGAAAGGCGCCATCACCGCCAAGGAGAACGTGTGAAATTAAGGTCTCGAGCGTTTTTTGGCTCCTAAAAGAGACCTAAGAGTAAAAAAAAGTTGAGTGGTAAAAGGAGTGGGATTACCATATTCTCCCGAAAGTTTGTGAAGCTGAGGAGGGTCTTCGTGATCTTCAAGAACTTTGTGGTGTTAGAAGAAGCAAGGAGGGAAACGAGGTACTCGACTTCCGCCCTACTGACAGTGTGATCTCTCGAAGCCTCTGGTCGTTCATTCTGTTGCAGTACCCCCTCAACATAGGTGCTGTTGTTGGATACGGGTCGGTGGGTTCTTTTGTCCTGTGAGGACTTCTTCCGTTGGATATAAGTACTGCGGTAGATCCAGTAGGCGCCAACTGCCAGAGCTGCCACAGTTCCCAGAAGATAGATACGAAATGCGGGCATGGACGTTATTCCAGGAAGGACTAACGACGAGACAACTGAATGTGCAGCACACTAGCCCTGAAAGGAGGAAGACTGTAGAGAAATACATAAGTGCTTTGTCAGACACTTTTTCCGCGGGCGGTGAGCACTTGATTGGTCTTTTTGAGACCGTTAAAGGTACAGTTTTCAGAACTGCCAGAAAGTTTGTTGTACGGGAATGTCCAAAATGCCGCTAAAAGCGGACAAAGTCGGACGCAAAACGCCAGACTTGTGAATATGAGGATTAAGAGCCTAGGCGATATCATCGGTAAGATCGTCTGCAAACTTGGCCTAGTGGCTGAGTCCGACATGACAGTTCGAACGTCGTGACCGACGATGTCCACCTTGTGCTCCGCAACAGGGTGAAAGCAGACACGATAACTTGTGCGTAATTTTCTTTAGTGATAGATGAATTGAGCTGCATCCACCGCCCTCTCTCCTCCTCCACCTCAGCCCGACGTCAAGACATAGTCAAGAAAACAGACGATGAGAGAGGGCGCAGGTGGCTGGAGCGGTCGAAGTTGCCCCTAAGCGTGAGGCCACGCCCGGGTCCGACACACTAATCACGTCAACGTTATAGAATGTCAAGAACGGATTGGAAAAGGCAGTCGGCGGAAGACGGAAGGAAGACTAGACGAGAGGACACATCTACAGGAAGACCAATTTTTCGCCAATCAGCAAAACACCCTCGTCTCAGATTGCACAGCTTGATTTAGGCTTTTCCCATTCTAGTGAACGCCAAAGTCTGAATAATTCCCTTCTTCTGGCAATAAGATCTGGCTGGAGCAAACGAGGTTCAACGTGACAACGACTATCAGGAGAATACAGCACACAGGAAGGCCAAAACACACTGTGAGGCAGCCGCAAATAATGCCGTCGTAAGAACAATATTTCAGTGTACAGGGCCCTTGACGGGTAATTACAGCTATCTGGTTCAAAAGTCGACCGAGATCACAAACTTGGTTAGTTTGATGGAAGCCGGGGTTTTTCAACGTTGCCCGTCTGCTAGGATATCAATTATGCGTACGATGTTGTACACACAACGATTAGTAACAGAACGTGGTTTTCTGTGATATAGGACTGCTGTTGTTTTAGTTGTCCCTTTACAGACAAAGGGGAGTTCAATTACAGCACCTGTCTGTACTGTAGGGGTATTAATCAAAGCTGATTCGTCGGGCTATATGTTTTAGGTTTTTTACGTAGCTAAGAAGAGAAACAGGAACGGCAAAAAGCTTTCCAGCATCAATTACTATGCGTAACGTGGTTACTCAAACCTATAAAGACGCCATATTTATGGCCAACGAAGCTACCCACCTGGCGCGTCCTGACTGATCAGCCTCACCGAATCCCTCGCGAGTTTCGAGCGCCGGAAGTTCGCACGCAGCCAGGGGCGTGCTGATTGGTTGACTCGAGCAAGTGTGAAAGTCGAGGGTACTTTCTAGTGTGATTTCTTGTCCCGCATGACAGTCGATTCCAAAACGCGCATTTAGCTCTGGCTCCGTTAACGGGATCCGTCACGTTGTGAATAGTTACCCTTACAAAAAAGGCCGAATCAGCTGCGTGTCAGTCCCTAGGACTGAAGAATTAGGGATGCGATCAAAGAGAGCTTTTCCTAGGTCAATTCACGTCTTCGGCCGGCTACTCCGAAGTCGTCGCCAGCCACGGACAGGCAAAATGACATTCCGGCCTACGTTGCCTTTAAACCAACGCAGCACAATGCCGAGTTATCTCACTAAGCAAGTAAGGAGGGCCCAGTTAACTGATTGTGCTCTTGATCTACTGTATATTCGTTCGTCGAGGTTGGCACCAGAGACGAATGGAACGCACGCATTATCGAAGGGACACATCCAGGTGATGGATGCCATCTGGGCGCACAGGCTGTCACATACATACAGGATTTATACCTGTATTGTATTTTGAATTTCAGAATAGCTTTATGTCGATTTTAGGGGTTTTAATAAAATTGGCCAAAAGTTACACACGCTTGATTGATTAATCTGCCAAATTGTTCCTATGTGGACCATTAGTCCCAGAGTTCGGTCTGTTACAGCAGCTGCCAGCGAACTCGGAAATTTCACTGTTTATCGTGAACGGGCAGATACCTCCGATCGTAAAGTTAGAGGCAAAATGTCAGTTTTGGAGAACTCTACTTTCATGCTGGCCTTGGATACCCATGTACCCATCTGGGGCAAAATGTGTTACGTATCTGTTAAGGAGCTAATCGGAGCTGCAACAACGCCAGTATTGTCATGAACCGTAATGTACGGACCACGCCCTACCTTGGCGCTGGGACGGGCTGGTAGCGTGTATTGAGGAAACGCAGTCAATCACACAGTTTAGCAGGCTTAGTGGGACTGCACTGTTCTGACTGACACCGAAGGTAAAATAGACTCAAATCATCGGTATTTGCACCGAATCTTGTCCTTGTTCCAGGATGATCACTATGAAGTGCTTATCGACACCCTGCTGTACCGGTCGAGAGCCGCACTGATTATTTACCGTCCGCACGTTGAGTTAAAGGCAGGAGCGATTGAGAAAAGTGCCGAGAAGACCATCGCGAAAGTGGTAAGGCAGTTCGTAAAACGCGATCCGCAACCTTTATTGGATATCAGCATAAAGACAGGATCGCTCGTCAGTGGACATGGTTTGTTCCCAAATTTGGGTGTGAGGGACAAGCAAGTGACTAGATATAGGTGAAAAACAATAACTTAATTTCCTGATCAGAAGAAGAAGTGATCGCTGGAACAATGGCTTTATTCGCCTGACGTTTCGGATTCTCTCTTGAATCCATCATCAGAGACAGTTGCAGAAAAGGGTGGCTAGTGTACAGGAAGTCGCAGTATTTATAGGATGCGGTCGCCATGCTACCGCATACCTACAGCAATTAACCGTGCTCACTTCATCAAGGATTGTTGCCCGCTGGTGCGCTAATTGCTTGATGGCCGGCATGCAAGTTGTTAATTGCTGACATCTCATCACCCGTGTTGGATGCTGGCGTGATGATTGCTCGGCCATCTGGCTCACGTGCTTGCGCGCTCCTCGAGTGGTCAATTGCTTTGGCCAGTCTATGCCCCAGGACAGAATATGGAGTGGGGATGTCGTTGCACTTGTTGATAGACTGAGGTCCCGTGAACCATGACTCAAGCAACTCGCGGCTCACGCGATTATCCCCTCTCGCGAGAATTTCGGCCTCATCGAACTTGAATGTGTGGCCGGGTCTCGTCGAATGGGCCGCGACCTGAGAGTTGGCGTCCTTTCTCCGCACAGCTGCCACGTGTTCGGCGATTCGCGTCCGGAGCAGTCTTCCAGTTTCTCCGACGTAGTTGCTTTGTCCGCAACTGCACCAGATCCGGTAAACGACTCCAGATGTTTCTTGCCGTGGCAGTGAGTCTTTTGGTCTCATCACTTGACGCCTCATGGTGGCCTTCGGTCTGTGCGCAACTCCAACCCCAAGTGGTGCAAGAAGGCGGCTAACGGCCTCGGAGACGTTCTTGATGTACGGGATCGATCGCCAGAATTTGGGGTCGGCGCGATTTTGTCGCTCGTCTCGTTTGCGCAGGCACTGGTATCGGCAACTTAATTTCCCCTGAAGGCAGTCCTCCATATGGGCACTGCTATTAGTCAATATTTATAAGACCACAATATGGGCAATTATCCGACTCAGTTCTGGTTAAAGGCCACTTTTATCACGACGGATGCAGTGTAACGGCAGTAGTTAATTTGTGAAAACTGTCAAGACGCACAGTTTAGGGGTACTGACACCTACTGTTGTTCGCATGACTTATTGGTCAGAAAAACCTATGCGGGACAGGAAGAGCTCTGCGCTTGAAACGTCACGTTCAAGCATCAATGATTTGGGCAAATCGCTATGAACAGATTTCTACCACATAACACAGCTGTGCCAACGCATCGTGACATCCCAACATGAATAAAATGACAGGGTCTTACGAAAGGGCCTTGTCTTCATTTTCAAGTTCCCCAAACACTTTTTAAACACGGCTGTTAGGAACGGCCTAAAAAACGAAGTGTTTCCACTTGAATGCGGATTTGATTCCCTTTTTGTACATACTGCAAATGACGATGATTAATGATCTCTTTGTCATAAGCTTGTCCAAGATACGCAGAAAAATAAACTCTCGAGAATGTACACTCCGCTAAAAAACATCGTCATTAATTGGAAACTAGGGGCTTGGAGCCAAAATAGCAGAACAGAGGCGGATACAGATAAATCATTACGAGTTCAAGGAAAACTGCTCGAGAGGCGTGGCGATTGAAGTGATTGCAAAACAGGGTCCTAGGACCCTCTATAAAGTGGTTCAATATCAGTAAGCATAAAGAGCATTCTACCAGATGCTAATTAAAGGTTGCTCTAAATTTAAGTTCACAGTTAACAGAGCTGGCACCTTATGCAGATACGTAAGCAATTAAGTATATGTGCGGGTTACAATTGTAACCCATTAGTGTGTAACCTTCAGTAGGTCCGGCCACCCACGTGCTTACAAATCTACTACCAATTTAAGATTTTAGTATTCCATGAGTTCCTGTACTGACCTGGCTGTATTTAACCGAATGGAAATAAATTAAGAGCTGTCTAAATATTGGGAATGTAAGGCAAACAGGTGACCCTTTCATAACAGCCGCCTAGACCCCAACCTCATATTTGTTTTAATTCATAGTCCGATGTGAAATTTGTTGGACTTCATCACGAAGGCTAGTACGCAGAAATGTCCATTCCTGTCTCTCTTGTCTTTGTTGGTAATGCCATTATGTCAGGACGTAATTACTTTAATTAAGTCTACGAGTCTGAGCCAGTACAGCCCTGAAAAGCCAGCTCGCCTTATGAATAATCTGCATGGTATTAACCCAAAAGCAGCACTGGGACCAAGTAGGCTTGAGACTGAACAAATATATGCTTGCAGTGGTGGGTGCCACAGAAGTCGAATTAAGAAGAAGCAGTTGCAGCCTATCCCTCTGTGTCTAGA